GCCAAAAACATCCGCATCAATACTCTAGCTTGTAAACTCAGATCGCGGTGCGATGTTCGATGAACTCTAGGTCATCGACGCGGTGACCGTCGCCCGCGCTAGCCAGTGCTGCTGCGGGCTGAAGAGAGAAAATGCACTGGGGGCGCCATGGCAACGCACTAGATGAGCGCCCCCCTCCCTCCTGCATATGCGATAGCGGCGGATGACTTGCACTGCCGCGGCTGTTTCACGTCCTCGGTGTTTGGGCCCTCCGCAGACCCCGCCAGGTGGACTCCAAGGGTCGGGCGCCCGAAGTAAAGCCCCCGCAATGCAGCTGCGACCTAGCGCGCGCATAACCACGATCACTCGCTCGCCATCGCAGTCGAGCTCGGCGCGCCCCCCGCGCCTGCATGCCCAAAGCAGTTTCTTGAGCAGGCCACATCCCATTTTGCTCAATCTCCATCGGCACTAGCCCGACCCCCGCTCTGCCTCGGGGGCGACGATCGCTCGCCCAGGAAGGGCGCGACAATATCCTCGGCAGCCCGGGGGGGTGGGGGGCGCGCCCATTCGGGCCGCGCTCGCCAAAAAACAAGCTCGAAGGCGCAGATCGACATCAATTCGAGGTCACGCACGGCGAGCGAGCGCGACCGTTTCGAGGTCGCCCCGAGGTTGCCGATTGATCTGTCGGTTTCAAGCTGGAGACCGCCGAGCGAGGAGACGGCGGCCGAGCATTCCCCCGGAGCCGCCGGCAACTGCGCGCGGGAAGACCACGCTGCAGCACAAGCTTGAGAGTGGGGTGGCGCGCGAAATGGACGCCTGCGAGGTCCTCGACCTTTGCCTGTCATCGCGCGGATCAGCATGTGCACTACGTAATAACTGCGCTGTGCAAGTGCCGCGCGTAGCTCCTCTGCCCCGCGGGCTCGCACTCGCCCGTGATGTTCCCGAGCCGCGCCCCGCAAGTAGCGACTGCGCTGCTTCATAGCATTCGTGTGCGACTCGAAAGCGTAGCTGTCTGCTGCTCTGCCTAGTTGCGCCCTGCGATCACGTCTACGCTGCAGTAGTTCGCCTCGTAGCTTGGCGCTGCTGGCGCGCTGGTCAGGCAATAACAGGGGAGCCGTGAAAGTCTCGACGGCGGCCTGATGTAGAAGGCGCATGAAGACTCTGTTCACGTCATCTACACTGCAGCTGCCGAAAGTCCTCCTCCACCGCCTCCACCTTCGCAGTTGCGAATTTCAACATGCCCGCCACCCCCCCTCAGACGCCCAAGCTGGACGCACTCGCACATGGCCTCTCCGTTGGGCCTGGGGGGTCTGGCAGGGAGAGGCGAGGCTGTGGCGTGCAGTCGAATTGTGAGAACGACTGGACGATGGCCCCGAGCTGCGACTGTTCGATGGAGCTGTAGACGACGAGCTGCGCGTGCGTGGATGATGCAGCTCTCGACAACGGGCATGACCAATATCAACACAATGACGTGGTCGATGTGACTTGCTCCTCGCTCGCCAACATACGACGCAAAGTTGCGAAATTATGTGTTTGTTGCCGTCAGTTCCCACGCTTCTAACATGGGTCGAATGGCGTGTGAGAGAAGTAACTTGCCCATGCCATGCTCGCATGCAACCTGGTCATAGACTGAAAACGACAGCCCACCATTCAAATCCATAAACGTATATACATGCATCAGAAGAGTAACCTATAAGTTGTCAAGAAACCCCAATGTCTGCTGTAAGCATGTGATGATGCACTGCACGGCCTCGTCGTAGGATGGATGTATTTTGCCCTGTCTTGATAACCTTCGGCGGAAAGTACAGTCCAAAGTACAGTCCCATGATACCAGATGCTCGTTCTTGTTGCCGGACGACTATGCAACCAGCTCGTCCCCACAACTGCTCAGGTACGGCTGAGATGCGCTTGACTGCACGTTTGCTGAATAGGTTTTTCTGCACGAGAATGCTGATGCCACAAGACGGGGTAACTGATGGGCCCCGCTGGCAGCCAAACCTGTAGCACCTGAAGCTGTCGATGGTGAGTGCTCATCTTCGATCAGGTCCCCACTGCTCTTCTGCTGGGTGCCGCCCAACACCACCATGTCGTGCGTCGGGTACTCGGCGACGATGTCTGCGAGCCTGGAATTGCGGTTCGAGGCGCACGGGTTGAAGCCAACCATCCTGAGCAACCCAGGAGAGGCCTCGGTCCACGGGCTAGCCGCCACCATGGCTGAACGGGGCGAGAGGGCCCTTGCGAGCGTGTGGCCCTTGAATCGTGTGAGGTGACATGGTGTGTCCTCGCAACATGATGGGACACCTGGAGGAGTAGGAGGAGGAGGAGGAGGAGAAGAATGAGGAAGGAGGAGGAGGAGGAGGAATAGGGAGGATGAGGGGAGGAGGAGCAGGAGAGGAGGAAGAGCACAAGAAGAGGTTGGGGACAAGGTTAGCTCCTATCTCCGCTACTGCCCTGCCCCCTCCCCACTGTGCCCAGTCAGCCCAATCACTCTCCCTCTCCCGTTCTCGCTTTGGCAGTCTTG